CCCCAAAACCCCAAAACCCCAAAACCCCAAAACCCCATTTCAATAATAATTTATTGACTTATTTTAGTTAATTTTTAAACTTTGATTGGCTCATCTGGTTGACATATTGATTAAGCCCTCTTCTGTATCTTATTTGCTCCTCTGTTTCCTCTTCTTCATAGTCTTGGTCAATGTAGGCAATATTTTCATCTAAAATGTAACAAAATAAGAATTTACCTGCAATATTGTCATCTTCAAGGAGATCATCTTCATCAGAATCATGAGGATAATTCTCTTTCTGGGTTAATCTTTGAATATATTCAGGATTAATATATTCCTGAGGGCTTTGGGAAGACATTCTCTCTACGCTATCATAAAGCACAAGGTTTCCTGAAGAAGTAGTTTGATGGAATTTTCTACCTTCTAATATATCTTTAGTGTCCATTATCCCGTACAATTTATTTCTAGAATTCTGTTTCTCATTAAACATGTTTTGTTCTATAGATTCATGATCAAACTCAGAACTCATTTGGATCTGGCAACTGTCTGAATCCTCTGACATTTTATTTTGTCTGAGTTTATCAAGAGTTTCTTCTTTAGAAATAGGCTGATTTCTTCTATTTTTGCTTGTTTCTAAGAATATTTTCAACTCTTCTACTACTGATTTTCAGCATTTGTAGCTGATTTTCATGTTCTGAGGAGCTAATATCATTTAAGAACTCACTATTTTGCTCTGAAGATATCATCATTTTCCTTCTGTTGATAGCATTCTTAGCTTTTTCATAAAGTTGATCGCTTGAAGACTCTTCATTATGCTCATTCTGGTCATACCCATTAGATCTCTCTTCAGAGGACTCATACTTGTTTCTTTTACTAGAATAGAGCTGATCAAGCTCGTCATCTTCAACATTTTCATATCTTGAATTAGAAAAATGAGCCCTATCAGGATATTTTTGTGAGGGCATATTCCTACTGGAATGCATTTCTTCGGAAGAATTCTCACGATCTGTCTTCTGTTTCTTCATATTTTGCTTAAAATATTTCTTCAGATCTCTCTGATTCATGTTGAGAGTCTCTTCGTCGATAGAGCTTTGTTCTGAATTGTGTTCATTTTCACTATCACTATCCACGTTGTAGTCTTGTAAAGCAGAGTTCATAGTGAGTGTCTTCACAAGTTTGTTGAATTCATTTTTGGCTGACTGTTTTGGAGAGGTTAAACCCTCAAATTTGTTATTCATCTCTTGAATCAGCTTTTCAGTATTCTCAAGCCTGTCCTCAATAGTAGGCCCATAAGTCTGAGAGTCTATAACTGAGGGATCTTGCTGGTAATGGTATCAATTCGGAGTATAGTTCAAATTGCACTGGCTCTGTAATATGGGCCCTTGGCAGTGAGGTTGAAGCACAAAAGATCCGTTAGCATGATTATTTACAGGAGTCATTACAGAGTTTCTAAGCATATTTGTATTTGTATCCATACTTTGGTGGACACCATCATAGATCTTTTTTCGAGGGTTTAAGTTATTTTTGCATGATAGACTATCTCTCAGATGAAGGTTGTTCAGAGTCTGATTATTCCTATTGTTATAGTTTTCTTCATTATAAGAACGATCTCGATAAGAGAGATTTGAATAATGAGCTATTGATCCTTCTTTCATTGTTCTATCTTGAGGAGGGAGCATCCTTCTTTTGATAGAAGATCTCATGCTCTTTTTAATCGATCCCATTGATCCTCTTTCACTCATCGGATTGATTTCATCTAGATTGTTTTCTTTTTTGTTGTTCTTCTTTTTGCTTTTCTTGATGACAGGCGATTGAGAGTCTAGAGTTCTCTCATTCTCATTGCTGAGCATATCTGGGTTAGCATAATTTATTTTACATTGATCTTTTGTATTGATGTGATCAAGGAAGTCAGTTGGAGGATACATGTTGAATCAACGGGCTCATTCTAGTCTAGATCAACTGTCCACCATCATTTGGCACATATCTTTAATCTTATTCATTGCTGAAGTAGTGGACTTAAATTGTAGACTTGTTCTATTAAGGCTATTTGATGATCCACTAGCTTTAGAATGATTACGTCTTCACTCTCTCTTACTAAGCCCAACGCTACAGATACCTTTCCTTGAACAAGTTTTATGTTTCGTTGAAGTGTTTGAGTCTAAATTTTCGTTGATTTTCTGCTTACCTTTAGGACTTTTAACTCTGTTTACATTAGAATTTACTCTGTCTTTGCCAGAATTTTTAGCTTTGGAATTCTTAGTAGTTTTGAACAAGTTGAATGGTTGTAAGGAATTAGTTGACGAAAACAGCCTGTTTTCTCTTTTTGAAATATGGGAGCTCTTCCTGTTAGAAATAGGCTGTATTTGTGGCTTTGTGCTATATCTAGCATTCTTATTGTAAAGATCAGCATCGTTCTGAGATCTAGCCCCGCTTCTAGACAAATCTGCTCTGTTGTTATCTCTATATTTTGATGATTTTTCAGCAAGGGTTCTTTCTAGTCTGTTTTTTATCTGAATCTTTTCCTTTTCAAGGTCTCTTAGTGACTTATTTAGCAAGTCAACTTCTTTCTCCAATTTTGAATTAATATCCTTCTGTTTAGCAATATCTCTTAGGCTTTTAGATTTTTGCTGAGACAGCTTTGTTCTGAGTTCCTTAGAGTCTGTCTGAAGAGATTGGATTTCCTTCTTTTGTTCTTCGATCTTGGTTTCCCATGAAGACTTGAGTCTCTTCGCTCTGCTTGTGAGTTCATCTACTTTCTTCTTGAGTTTTGTGTTAGCAGCTTCTAATTGTATTTGTGAGTCCTCATATTCTCTGGACTGACTAGTGTTATCATTTCTGGGTGTGCTTGGATTTTTCCAAATATTCTTATATTTTCCCTTGAATTGAGAATTTTCTGAACTTCGTCTTTGGAAAGTATTTTTAGTAGTCAGACGACCAGGAATCTTCTTTGGTTTATCTGACTGAAGCTGGTTTAATTGTTCTGTCAAGAAATTACATTTTTCGTAAAGAGTTTGATTTTCTTCTTGGAGTTTATTCATAGCTTGTTCAGTATCTTCCCTAAAATTCTGTGTTTGGCTCTCATAGTAATACTTGACTCTATCAAGTTCTTTCATATAATATTGGTCAGCTCTTTGATGGCTATCTTTTTCATATTTTCCGGTATGGTTAAGCTCAGTCAAAAATTCTGCGTAATCTGGATCAATAATTCCGCACTCTAGTAATTTCCTATGAAATCTAGCTGGATCATCGATAATATCTTCTATATCATCATCCTGAATTTTTTGTGCTGGTAGGAGTTGACTTTGATACTCAAACTCTCAATTTGAAGACCTTACGTCTATATTAATTCCCTCCATTTGTAAATTTAAACTTCAAATTTTTCAATTTTTATATCAATTAACGGGGTTTTGGGGTTTTGGGGTTTTGGGGTTTTGGGG